ACAGGCACAGATATAGATATAGACTTAGACATAGACCTGCATGCAGATATAGATCTAATTGAAGATGAAGACATACAGGCATGAACTAATTCAAATCGATAAAACTATGAAGATATAGATATGGGAGCAGATATTGAAACAGACATAGATGTAGATATAGTCATGCAATTATGTAAAGTTAACTACGAAGTTCACCGCATTTGAGGAACTGCATGCACGCATAAGCAGAGAGAGCGAGGTACCGATGCTCAGACATGCGAATATAGGTGCAAACAGATGATAAATGCTTAGACATGGCCGCAATTGACTTCAACGTGGCCCTTCAAAGCTGATTACTTTAATTTACTAAAACCCGGTTCCTGTTATGATCTCGAGAAGAACTGGTGCGGATTTAAGCTTGCTTTAGCTTTCGATCCGCGTTGTCCGAAAACTACATCTTCAATATGACTCGTCATTTGCAAAGTATATGAGAGGTGAAGAAAATATATCACATTTACATAGACATATATATATATAGAGAGATAGAGACATGTAAAAGGAACGATAGGCAGATACCTAGGATTTTATACAGACATACGGGCTTATCTACATACATACATACATACATACATATATATATATATATATATATATATATTCGCATACATATATATATATATGAAAAGTTCACATATGAATCTATAGCCAGAGAGAACATACATAGATACAAAAAAAAGACATGTAGATACATACATAGATATACAGATATACACATATTCATATATATATATATATATATGTAGGCAGCTGTTTGTATGCAGAGACAAATAGAAACATATTTATGGGTCTAGATACATCCACAAATTTGAGCATTGGTACAACTACATATACATACAGTTACGTGTACTCTAAAAATAAACTACGATATACATGCAGCCATAAACATATACTAATCTAGATAATTTATCTATGATTTTGGCTTATATTCATACATATGTAAATACAGCTATGCACATATACATATAGACAGAAGTAGAGATACAAATATTAATGTTATCAATATATGCTATATACATACAATTATAAACTTCATCGCATAGGGTGCATGATTGAAAGTTATTACATGTATACTTAAACTTTCAAACCTGTGTAGTGTTGCACCATTCCGCCTCGGCCGGTGGCTTCCGCCCCCGGCCTCGGCGGAAACTAAACTCTCTGTCGTAGCATCCTTATCCTTTTATTGAACAGATCATTGGAATGATATCAATTGTTCTATGTTTGGAATATACTCGAACTTTTAAACCTATGTAGTCTTGCAAGTAGCCCCGTTTGGACGACAGCTACTCTAAAATTCATACTTCTACTACCGAAACACCAACAAAAAGAAAAACTATTAACCAACTATTTGATAAAAAAATTTGTCTCGTAAACAAAGAAAAGTCCCTACGATTTTTTTTACCATTCCTCAAATTGGGTTTTAGGTTTTGTATGCGTTTGTCTCACTCACTCACTTTCATTCAACCATTCTTCTTCACTCCTTCTCACTCGCTGATTCTCATTCTCTCATGTTCACTCGCTCTTTCTCATCACGCGCTCGCGAACACTCATGCCCCCGCCAAAACAAAATCGATTTTTAAAACTTCATTTCTGTGTTTTCACGCGTCGCCGAAACAAATTTGGTTCGGCAACTGTCGTTTTTGGGATTCTAAACCCCGTCCGTCCGTCTGTCCTTCCGTCCTTCCGTCCCCGTCCATCCGTCCCCGCCCGTGAATCCTTCCCCGTCCGTCTGTCCGTCCGTCCCCGTCCCTTCTGTCCGTCCGCCCCCTTCCGTCCGTCCGTCTGTCCCCTTCCGTCCCCCTCCCCGTCCCTTCCGTTCGCTCCCTTCCCTCCGTTCCGTCCTTGTCCGTCCGCCCGTCCTCGTCCGTCCTCGTCCGTCCGTCCGCGTCCTCCGTCTGTCCCTGTCCGTCCGTCCCTCCGTCCGTGGTCCGTCCGTCCGTCCGTCCGTCCGCCCATGTCCGTCCGTCCCTGTCCGTCCACCCGTGTCCGTCCGCGTCCGTCTGTCCGTGTGTGTCCGTCCGTCCGTACGTCCGTCCCTTCCGGCCGTTCCTGTGATTGTCCGTTCATCCATCCGTCTGTCCACGCGTTCAATCAAGCGTTTGGCGGCTTTCAATTTGGCGTTTGCGGTCTCGACTTTGGGCTTTTGTTGATTTGGGTATCGCGTTTGCCTTGTAATTGAACGAAATCACAAAAACAAATCTGTTTCTGGAATTGTCGTTTTTGTTTTCTTATCGCGGTCCGTGCGTCCGTCCGTCCGTCCGTCTCCGTCCGCACGTCCACATCCATCCGTCCGGCCACACCCGGTCCGTGCCGTTCGGGTCCGTCGAGCCCGTCCTGTCCGGCGCTGTCCCGACACCCGTCCGTCGGTGCGTCCGCATGTGCGTCCATCCGTCCGTCTGTCCGTCCGTCCATCCGAGCGGAAGCCGGCAAGATTTGCGGCAACGAACGCTTTAGGGCTAACGGCCGGAGCCCCTTGTTTAACCCATGAATTGCCTAGGGCGCCAGCTGCGCTGGCGAACCCTAAACCCTAAACCCTAAACCCTAAACCCTAAACCCTAAACCCTAAACCCTCAAGAACAGGATAAATAGAAATTGTTTGGTTTAACGTGCATGGCCCCATCAATTTTGCTCTGCTTTCAACGTTTCACGAACAGAATGCAAGCACAGAAACGAAAGTTGAAGAAACAAAGGTGTGTCTGCAGTGCTTCGACTGGGATTGTGCTTCCGGGAATCTGTCTCCGCGTTCGTGTGTCCGGGGCCAATATATGCTTCCCCTAGGGCACCAAAATGGCAAAAATAAGGGTTTTTTTTTGCCAATTTTGCGGATTTGGGAAATCGCCAAATAGCAAATTTTCGTGATTTTGAGCAAATTTGGGCTTTCCCAAGGGCTGCAAAAATTGCAAAAATAGAGTTTTTTGGCATATTTTGCGGATTTGTGAAATCGCCAAATGGCAAATTTCGTGATTTTGGGCCAATTTGGGCTTTCCCAAGGGCTGCCAAAATTGCCAAAATAAGGGCTTTTTGGCCTATTTTGCGGATTTGGGAAATCGCCAAATGGCCAATTTCGTGATTTTGAGCCAATTTGGGCTTTCCCAAGGGCTGCCAAAACGGCCAAAATAAGGGCTTTTTGGCCTATTTTGCGGATTTGGGAAATCGCCAAATGGCCAATTTTCGTGATTTTGAGCCAATTTGTGCTTTCCCAAGGGCTGCCAAAATTGCCAAAATAAGGGCTTTTTGGCCTATTTTGCGGATTTGGGAAATCGCCAAATGGCCAATTTCGTGATTTTGAGCCAATTTGGGCTTTCCCAAGGGCTGCCAAAACGGCCAAAATAAGGGCTTTTTGGCCTGTTTTGCGGATTTGGCAAATCGCCAAATGGCCAATTTTCGTGATTTTGAGCCAATTTGTGCTTTCCCAAGGGCTGCCAAAATTGCCAAAATAAGGGCTTTTTGGCCTATTTTGCGGATCTGGGAAATCGCCAAATGGCCATTTTCGTGATTTTGAGCCAATTTGGGCTTTCCCAAGGGCTGCCAAAATTGCCAAAATAAGGGCTTTTTGGCCTATTTTGCGGATTTGGGAAATCGCCAAATGGCCAATTTCGTGATTTTGAGCCAATTTGGGCTTTCCCAAGGGCTGCCAAAACGGCCAAAATAAGGGCTTTTTGGCCTATTTTGCGGATTTGGGAAATCGCCAAATGGCCAATTTTCGTGATTTTGAGCCAATCTGGGCTTTCCCAACGGCTACTGAGATGGCCAAACTTACGGCATTTTGGCAGAATTTGACTCGCCAGTGCTTTTCTTGAAAAAAAGCAGCAATCCAGCCAAATCCGTTTTCAGAGTATGCAAAACATAAGCGAAATGCCACATTTTTCACAGCATCTGCCCACCAAGGCACCCAAACAGGGCAAAACACGCGCAGCCCTGGTTGGAGCAGGGGGCTGTTGGAGCACCCTCGGTTGTCACACTCCTGACCGGCCGGTGCTTTTTCTTGAAAACGGCCGCAATCCAGCCAAATCCGTTCTCAGAGTATGCGAAACATAGGCAAAATGCCACATTTTTCACGCCATCTGCCCGCCAAGGCACCCAAATAGGGCAAAACACCCGCAGCCCTGGTTGGAGCAGGGGGCTGTTGGAGCACCCTCGGTTGTCACACTCATGACCCGCCGGTGCTTTTTCTTGAAAAAGGCCGTAATCCAGCCAAGTCCGTTTTCAGAGTATGCAAAACATAGGCAAAATGCCACATTTTTCACGCCATCTGCCCGCCAAGGCACCCAAACAGGGCAAAACACCCGCACTTGCAGCCCGAACCGTTGCCCGCCAGGGGTGCTTATCTGCCCCAAAAGGGGTTTCGCGAGGTGTGACAACTATAGGGATTTGCCTATGTTTTGCATACTTTCTCAAAATGGCTCCCGCCCATTTAGTAATGCAGCCACCGCGAAATACACACAGTGCGTTTTTTTCCAAAAAGTCAGCAGCTTTCAAGGCCACCTTAACCGTCCCAGCGAGAGGGGGCAATATCGCTACCAGTGACGCTTCAACTGAAGCGGAGGTGCGCTATTCTCCCGCTGTCGGGCCTCGCATACCTACAAGTCCCGACGCGGCCAATTTTTGAGAGCGTTCGCGCTCGCTTCTTCTCCCTCTTTCCGCTTGAAACCGCGAGGGGTTTTTCCTCGCATCACTGAGCCGCCTCCCCCCCTCTTGAACAGGTTTTCTCTCGCCGAATTCTCCAGAATTGAATCTCTAGCGAATGCCCGAAAAGGGTTCAGGCAGGCTTCAGGGTCCACGTCGCGAGCTCAGATTTCTGATCTTATGTCTTATGTCTTGTTGCAGCCAGGTCCAGCTCAAGATCAGAGTCGACTTAGAGCGCCCGCACTCCCTAGTCGAAGCCATGTGCGACGCCGTAACTCACAAGGCCAAAGACACCAGATCTAAAAGCACATTCCTTATTCGGTTGCTCCCTGTTTCAGGTTCTCAAGGACAAAGTGAAGCAAGCCGAGATGGACTTCAAATATCCTTTCGCCTACCAATTTCGGTCGGCGGCCTAGTTCTGAGCTTGGATACGATTCGATTATATTTTCGTGACAAACTCATTCAGGTACGGCCTGGACCCGACTGTGGAAACTGCTCTGCGGGTCGTGGCTCTGTACACTCCGAAGCAGTGCCGGCCGCGGTTCATCCTACGCCCCGAGAAGAACCGGACATCGTCTTTACAGGTCCGGGTGGAGGGCATTAGGGGAACCACAAGTGGCAAAATCCTCGGCCAGACGGTGTGGAGCTCAGCTGTATCTTTCTTGGAACCTTTGTGCTGAACGCAAAGATATGCATAGTATCATTTTAAAATCTGGAAGCCCAGGACATCACCAGCTGTCGCGACGACACCCGCCTGAGCGGCTGGTTTCGCAGACTGGGTCTGGATCCCGAATGGGGCCGGGCTTGGCTCATAGAGGTCCAAGTGTGGTCGCCTGACAGCAAAAAGAAGACCGAGACGAGTGTTCCAGCTTGGCCGCAATCGAAAGGACAGCAGGACGAGGGGCTTTGGTGCTGTCCTCAGTGCAGTGCCAAGGTTCCCGACATTCAGCGCGCTGTCAAGGCTCACAAACGAAAGTGTCCCGCCAAGCCCAAACCCGGAGCAAAGCGCACAAGCAAGGCCTATCGGAAGCCAGCAAGCAAAGACAAGGCCAAGAAAGGCACCGCCTTGCACCGCAAGAAACTTCCGGAGGAGTCGTGCCAAAGCCCACCAGCTCCAAAGCTGGTCAGGACAGATACTTGGGAACGAGACAGCATCGAACCAGGCACTCAGCCGGAGAGATTCTTCGAACGTCAAATTGAACTTCGGTGCGGAATCCATGCCCTCAACAATTCCCTCGGCTTCCACTTGGTCAATGCACAAGACATGGTTCACGCAGCCGATGCTTTCTTGTTTGAGAATCAGGAGCTCGCGGACAACGTCCAGGACCACCTCGTGCCTGAGGGAGATTATTCGATCGAAGTCATGAGCATGGTTCTCCGCACTAAAGCCATGGCAGTGTTCGGGCAGCTGCGCTGGCAGATGGAAGACCGCCGTGCCATGAACATCAAAGACCTGGAGGGCTGCGCGGGCGCCGTGCAGCATCGGAACGGGAGGCATTGGGTGGCTCTGAGACCTGCGGGGCAAAATTTCCTTTTCTTGGATTCTTTGGAGGGACAACCTAGCGATTTAACGGTCGGACAGCTAGAAGAAATCCTTTCGTCTCACCCAACCTATGCCATACGCCGGTTGTGACGGAGCATCGCGGCTTGCAGCCGCAGCAGCAGAAGCGGAAAAAAAGCCAAAGGCATCTGCTATTTGCACGACAGAGACCATGCATCGGCAGTTCAGTGTGTCACAGCTCTTGAAGCAAGCGGTCCAACCGCTGCATGTTTGCCTGCGCTCAGTTCCTTTCCAGCTTAATGATAGAAGTTTCGTTTCATGGCAGACGTTGAGGCTCAACTTTCGTTGCACAGATCTAGAGCTTCAGCTTCGCATTTCGCGACCATGGCGCCTTGTCAGCGTTGCGGAGTGGGCACGCGCAGTGGCCGAGGACAGGGCTGGTGCAGCGACCCGCAATGCCGGCGAGCGGAGGCGGAGGAGCGCCAAGCTGCGAAGAAGGCCTTGCAGCAAGAGCGGGCTGCCCAGGGAGCCGGCAGGCGTGGACCCGTTCCCCTGCAAGGCAGCTATCGTGACCAGCGGCGGGAGCTACAAGCTGAACGAGCAGATGAAGGTGTCGGCAAACGTGGGCCCAAACCGCCCAATATGGAGGAGGGCAGCTATCGGGACCAGCGGCGGGAGCTACAAGCAGAACGAGCAGATGAAGGTGTTGGCAAGCGCGGGCCCAAGCCGGAGGAGGGCAGTTCTCGTGACCAGCGGCGAGAGCTTCAAGCTGAACGAGCAGATGAAGGTGTCGGTAAGCGTGGGCCCAAGCCGGAGGAGGGCAGTCGTCGAACCCAGCGACCGCAGCTACAGGCAGAACGGGCAGAGGAGGGGGTGGGGAGCCGTGGTCCGAAACCTATCGCGACCGACATCCAGCAGCAGGGCTACCCTTTTCCTGACGAAGAAAGCTTCACTCCCGAAGAAGCGATGGCCCATTACCTCGCCTTTACCCGCAGCTGGGGCAGATTCGGGCTCTCCAGAGCGTGCGAGATGTGCGGGACCTTGACGACAGCCAGATATTACAAACAATCGAAGGCGACGGGCAAGATGATGTGCAAGACGTGCCGCGAGAATGCCACCAAGATCATCTTGCCAGACCTGCCGCCCATCCCAGAAGCGCTCCAAAACCTTCAGCCCATCGAGCAGCACCTGATCGCCATGGCGAGGATCAGCCAAGTCTTGCTCGACAAGCTCCCGGCCGGCGGCCCAAGCGCGCAGTGGGGCCGCATGTACGCAGTCTTGATGGAAGACCCCCTCATTTGCGACGTCTTGGCGGGCGCCACGCTCCAGGACGATGGCACGGTCTTGGTGGAAGGAGTACAAGGACTGATGGCTTCGCCGGCGCGTCTACACTGCCTGCACGAAGCTTTGGCCGAGCTCAAAACCAATCACCGCCTGTACAAGGCCAACCCCGCAGTGGACGAGATCCTGGCGAGAATGGCGGCCATTCTAGCCAACAGCTCGCCGACCTCTTCAGAGGCCTCGCAGGAAGGGTCCGGCACATCGACCGAAGAAGTACAGCACATAGCAAACGCAGCCCCGGAAGTCTCGGCGCCCGAAGGAAAGCAGGGAGAGCTAGAGATGACTTACTTGGTTCCCAAGCATTTCAAGGCCCCCAACCCTGAAGCTGCGGCGCTGCAGAAAGTTCGTGGCATGTCGGCATTGGGCGAGGACATGGACGTGAAGTTTTTCCCACACCTCTTCCCGACGGGCACGGGCGGGTGGCGAGACGAGTACGGCAGCTTCTCACAGTATGCCCGCAAGCGTCTTCTGGGCTTGGACCCGCGGTTCGAGTCGTCCCCCGCCTACATCATGTGGCTCCTCGAAATGCACATGAAGAAGCGGCTAACGGGCAACATCAACGTGCGGATCGGTGGTCAGCAAGCTTCACATGGGAAGACGAAGTACCAAGAAGGCAGAAGTCAGATCTTCACCGCCCTCAGGGACATCCCCGGCACTCATCCCTATGTCTACGCAAAGAAGCAAGTTGCAATGAATATGTACGAGCAGCTGGGCACGCCCAATTTCTTCATGACCCTTTCCTGCAACGCTCGTCAACCCGACATACTGATCGCGGTCATTTCGGCCAGACTGCTACAGCTGCATCCCTGTCGCCCACCCGAAGAGTTGGAACGCCAAGCGGCCCAAATCCTGTTCCAGTACCAGAATGACGAGAAATTCACCTGGGATGGATTGTCCCCGAATCAACTCTGCAATCAGCACCCAGCCATTGTGGCGCGGCAGTTCATGCATCAGCTGAAGCAGTTGATGTGGTGGTTGTCTCCTCAGCGTGACGCAGAGAGCCACTTGAACAAGGAGACTGACCCGCAAGATGAACCGCAACACCAGGCCTGTGGAGAGGACGACGAAGACTTCGTCCAGGCGCCCGCCACGGACAGTGCAGGCCGGCACCGCGGAGTGCGCAAGGAACGTCCGCCTTTCAAAGTCCTGGACTACATCATCCGGATTGAATGGCAAAAGAGAGGTTACCCACACGCCCACATTCTGCTCTGGGTGGTGGAGTGGGCGAAATCAAAGCGACCGCCCGGCGGCAAAGACGAAGAGAAGACCAGGGACTTTCCCAGAGACGAAGGGGAACAGAAAGACAAGGAGAAGGCGACCGCAGAGCAAGTCCCAGATTGGTCAGACGAGGAGGCCATGGAGAACTTCGTCCCCAAGTGCGCCGAGGACTGGAGCGACAAGTACATCTGCACCAAGTCCCCATATACCTGGAGGCAATCTACCAAAGTTTCGCGTCGTGATCAGGAACTGAATGCACAGCTGTCCAGTTTGGTGGTGCACCATCACACCGAGTACTGCGGCATCAAAACACACGGTGTATGTCGCCACGGCTTTCCCCATGGAAAAGAACAGCGGACGAGACGACGGACTTCTCAAGAGAAGTATGCCAACAGCCGCTTCAAGAGTAGCTTGGCAACCAGACGCACGGAGTTCGACACCATGATGGGCCAGTACAACGTCAAGATTCTCCGCCGGTGGCGCGCCAGCATGGACCTTCAGGTAATCTGCGAGCTCACCAGCGCCAGCCGCTACATTCTCGGGTACGCCATGAAGTCGGAGCAGGATAAGGAGGCCCAGCGCCGGGTAGAGAGCATCGTCATCAACCTCACCTCCGGCAACAATCGGGAAGCCGGCATGGGCCATCAGCAGGTGTACAAGGCGGCGCATGCCGCACTGCAGGGGAGAACCACATCGACTTTCGAAGCCTGCCACCTGCTGCTGGGCTTCTCCATCGTCGAGTTTTCCAGGGACAACCAATACATCCAGGTAGGACCTCCCGAAACTTGGACCTTGTCCGTCCCCAAGCAGGAGGAAGGGATGGCCCTTCAGAGGCCCGACAGCTACCGCAGCAACAAGCTGTACAAAGGTGGCTACATGCCCATAGCCCAGCAAAGGTACCGCCAGATGCAGTTGGCTTTCGGCGAGCAAGAGGTGGACATCCCTGTGGAAGGCGGAGGGCTCGTGAGTTGTCGGTTTGCAGACATGGTCTTTCTGGACTTCTGCGCCGCCTTCAAATTCATCGGCGTGGAGTTTCCGCAGCCCCGGAAGCGACCTGCAATCGTTGCCTACCGCAACTTCAGCCCGGACCTGGAGCCCGAGGAATTCTACTTTTCCAGGCTGCTCCTGTATTCTGTGTGGAAGGAGCCGGGCGATTGGCTGCAGGAGGAAGACGCCGGGAGCCATGCCGCAGCTTTCCGACGCCTCGCCAACGACGTGGAGGGCCACCCCGACTTCCTCAAATCCAAGTGCTTCCCCCAAATGGACGGGACCCTGGAAGCGGCCAGGAAGCTGCAGGCTGTGCAGGCCACCATGTACATGAAGGCGAAGATACATCCGGCGCACTTGCGCGATGGATGGGCCAACAGCAAGGTGGCGCAAGACAATTACGAGGATTCCTTGAAGGTTCTCGAGGCATTGAAGGAGCGGTACGGCGACGATATCGATTTTGCGGTCCCAGATCACGTGCCAACCGGGGCGGACGCCGATGCCTTCGCTCCCGTGGAAGA